ACTACAGTAAAGACTAGGGATGCACCGATACTGGTATCGGTATCGGGCCCGATACTGAGCTCTTGTACTCGTTAAAATGCCCCGATACCAAATGCCGATACCACACAGCATGTGTTAAGCGCCATATTCAGACAAAGAAACACCAACAACAGACAGCAGAAAGTAGTTAAGGATGTCTACTACGAAGTATATGTATGCAATGAATATAATGTTAAACATTCAGTATTAACGCCTGTATAGCTGATGTGCACGAGTTGATAAACAAAGCACGCTGAGTGGATTGAGCGCGCGGCGGCGCAGATGCGCAGATGCGCGAGCTTGTCGAGTGAATATATCTTTCTTACAGACATCACTGGAAGGTTTGTAGTTCGGTCGGATACGTCAAAAACAAGTAAGTAAAACAATGCACAAGTTACTTAACAGTAGAGAGAGCGAGAGCGCGTGCGCGCAATTCTGTTGTGATCTTTGATGTTCCCTCACTTAGCACGCATCATTTGGATTAAAACTAAATCGTAAAAATAAAACCATTCATTGGGGCATTCACTATATACATCATTTATTTTCAACCTTAGGCATACACGAATAAGTTACTTTTAAAAATGTGTATTGTAATGTATTTGCATCATCAGAATTGTTGTTACATCATATTTGTCAGTTCATTTATTTAATAGTGAATTTACAAACTGCATGAATTACATTTTGAAGATTAGAATTAAGAGGGAATAAATCCACATTTTCCCGTGTGACTTCATAATTGTTAGTAGTAATTTGGTATGCCACAACTGTCTTTCACTTGTACTGTAACCACTCCCCCTCTAAGTACTGTGCCTGGTTAACTGACAGGCTGTGTCTGAAGCATCTCTGAACAGCTGAAGCTAGTGGCAGGGTCTCTTATGACAGCCTAATTATTGCCTTTATTTACCCATGTGCTGGTTTGGGCTCAGCGGGGCTCCTCCTTTGATAGCGGCCGCTGTGCCCTTTTAGCTTAGAGTCGCAGATCCTGTTAAAAGACACGTTTGTCTCTGGTGAATCCACTTACACTTGGGGAAAATCATCTGGTGTCAGCCTAAGACAGCACACCCCTGGTCCATTCATATTCTTGAAATGGTTTAATAATTAAATAACTATGCATGTCAGTGTATGCAAACATATTTACTTCATAATATATGTGTCTGGATATCAAACACATTATTTTATGATATTAATAAAATCTTTGATTTGCTCAACTCTGCTGAAATCTCATGGACTCATGCAAACAGTTGTCAATTTTGGAGTGTTCGTAGTCATTTTGCTCAAGATTTTTTTTTCATTGTATTGATAAATGCTGTGTCAGAATGCATTAGCAGCATGTTATGTGTTAATGTGAGTGTGAGTTTTTGTGTTTAGGTCTCATAGGGCCTGATCTTAATGAGGCAGCAGAATGGATGTGCAGGAAGTGCATGCCAAAGCACTAACATTAAATAGCTGCAGTCTAATAAGATAAATACAGTAATTAAGTTATGAGAGTGATGCATCCACACACAAATACACAGCCAGAGGACATACAGGAAGGGTGCGCGATCCTAAGAGAGAAACAGTGGGATGCTTGTCCTTTCTCATCTGTTCATTCACATTTAGCATAATGCATGCTTGTGTTTACAAGGTTTCTTTACTGGTATACACTCAAGTACCTCAGGCTTTGAATACAGTTGGTTTCTTCCTGTTTTGACTGAATAAATTGCAGTATAAACTGTAAACTTTAAGGCATGGGCTGGATATCAGAGCAGAGATGTTCTTTTAAAACAGTAGCTTTGCAAACTATATTAGCATGGTTAAATTACAGTTACTAGAATGAGTCTGACTATTTAAATTTGTTCACTAAAATAAACCGGTCATTTAAATAGTTTACTTGAATGAATCTGAGTTTTGAATCATTTCACTCAAATGAATCTGATTTTTGAATCAGTTCACTAGAACGAATCTGACTATTTGAATTTGTTCTAAAATAAATCTGCCATTTTAAATCAGTTCAATAGAACGAATCTGTTATTTTAAATCCATTTACTAGAATGAATCTGACTTTTTGTATCAGTTCACTAGAATGAATCTCCAAAACTATGTATGAGGAAGAGGACAGTTTAGAAGAGAAATTCAGTTAGCTGCTTTCTAGCTCTGCTAAACATAAATTGTGTATTATGACGTGCCTTGTGGTATGTTTTCATTTTCGTTTCATTCCAGACATGTTGTGTGCATGTGAATCTGTAGGAAAGTGAGGGAGTGTATAAGCGATGCGTGTGAGTTATTGTATGTTTGAGTGGAGAAGGGAAAATCTGGTCTGCACTTAAGCTGCATTAGTCAGCACCGATTACACTGAAGAACTAAATGTGTCTGTGTGAGGATGTTTCCTTCTGTCTCACAAGTCTGGGGTCACTAAGAGTTATATGACTTACTGTAGGATTTCTCAGCTCAGCCTTCCTCTGAGAGCTGTGTGTGTTTGTGTTTTATATTTTGGTCTCTTCTCATCTGACGTAGGTGATGTAAGCGAATCAAATTAAAGCAATATGATTGGCCAACTAAATTATCATTGGGCCTCATTCATGAAACATGAGCAGGGTAAATTTCTGTTCATAAATAATTCTCAAAATCTTAATATTTTCATAGTGCATAATACAGTTTCTTGGCCAGTAAGAAATAATCATATCCAGTAAATGTTCTCAAAATTCCCAAGTCTTTTGTTAGGGTGGCAGAAAGTTCATTTGGCCTGTATTTAACCACAGGTTCACTGGTCATTCTGACTCCATATTCCTCATACAGATATCTTAACACTTTCCCAGTTTGTCTGGGAAAACTGTCTTCTCCTCCTGGCAATGTCAATGAGCAACTTGGCAACATAGCGTTTGTTCGTTGGACTTTGTTTGGAAACAAGAGGAAAGACTGGAGCTCTGACGGGCAGTGAATCATCCGCCCTGCTCGAGCGCTGAGGGAAGAGAGGAAATATTGTGGACAAATTTGTTGACTTAGATGAGGCCTCGATGACTGAGCTGCAGGCAAGTGTGAATCACCTTTAAATTTTGCTACTCCTTATTCACTCTCTTTTGTCCCCTCTGGAGTTTCCCACAGCATCTGAACACAGTCCTTCTGTGTTAGTGTTAAACTCTAGTTTTTGAAGGCATTACGTTAGATGTATCAAAGGTTCTGCAGAGAAAGATATATACACACCCAAGACAAATGAAAGAGGCTTTATGCGCTGTAATCTCCATTTGCTCATTTATAATCAATTCATTCATTCTTTTATTTATTTAGCCATTTATTTGTTAATTCATTGGTTCCCTAAATTATCTGTTCATTTATTGGTTTCATGTATTCATTGTTTAATTTTTTGGTCCCTTAATTCATTCCTTTGAAACCTTGTTTGTTTGTTTGTTCTTGTATTCATTGGTTTGGTTATTCGTTCAGTCGTTCATTCATTCGTTTTAGTATTTTTTTTTATATAGTTCTTTGTTTTTTTGATTGATTTATTGTTGGTTGGTTGGTTAAGTATTTTGTTCATATGCTTGTTCATTGGGTTTTTGTTTGTTTGTTTGTTTAATCATTTTCAATAATTTTTTAATTAATCATATTGATTTTGTTTGTTAATTTGTTTATTGGTTTATTTTATTAATTCATTGATTACCTTTGTTTGTTTATTCATTCATTGTTTTCATTCAGTCCGTCAGGTATTCAGTCAGTCTTTACTTCATTAGTTCATTGTGTCATTTATTTGTTTGCTGGTTTGATTTTTTCTTTGGTTTCTTGATTCATTTGATGTTTCCTTAATTTGTTAGTTAGTTAAGTAGTTCATTCATTAATTTGCTTGTTCATATGCTCATTCATTGTTTTCTTAACTGTTTATATTTCTTAAATATTTCCTTCAGATCCATTTTGTCTTTAATTTGTTTATTGGTTCCTTTTATTCATTTGTTGATGCTTCATGTGTTTGTTTGTTCATTGATTCCTCATTCATTCATACATGAGATACATCTGTTATTCATTTGTTTGCTAATTTGATTGTTCTTTGGTTTCCTGATTCATTTTGAAATTAGTTAGATATTTAGGTAGTTCTTTTAATTGCTTTTTTTATTCGTTCTGTAATTTAAATGTTTAGTTTACTTGTTCAGTGGTTCCTTCTTGTTTGTTTGTTTGTCCTTTTGTTTCATTTGTTCTTTTAATTATACTTTTTGTTTGTTAATGCGTTCATTCATCATTAATTTGTGCCTTCCAGTCATTATTCATTCATTCATGTCTCTTTTTTTAGATTGCCCACAATATATGAAATGTCTTGCATGCTGAATCTTTTTTTATTATGTTTTTTTGTTTTTTGTTTTTCTCAGTAGCTGCAAGCCTGTGATTATGTTTAAGTGATATCATGGTGTGTATAAGTTCCACCTGCAGTGCTGTGTAGGACACCGTGCAGCTCATGTTCTCCCTCACAGTATATGAGAGACATGCTCACATCATGATCATTGTGTGCAGATGGGTGAGTTTCATGTGAAGATAATCTAGATCAGCTCCCGTCCCTGTGTTTGAGTGTGCACTGAATGCAAGTTGCTAAAGGACACTGGTGTGATTTCCACTGACAGTGTGTATATGTACGTAGAGGAGTCCCAGTGTGTGTTTGTGCATGTGTAGCTGGAGGCCATGGCCTCTGCTCGCTCTGACATTGATACACTGCGCTGAAGCTGTGTGCTGTGATGCTCGGCTGGGCGGCAGTGGGTTTGAAACACAGGCACACATGAGAAATGACCTTCTATGAGCCAAGAAAATGGAGACGGGTGCAGGAGTCAATCACTGGTGCAGAAATGATGCATGTTAACAGTACATCTCTACTGACACGCTCTGGCCCCTACAGCGATTAAGGGACTCCCCAGAGTGTACACACACACACACTAGACATTCACTCAGCCTGTTTTCCTAGATAAACGTCATTTGCAAATTGTGATCACTCAGTGATGTCTTTCTATGCCCCTCTCTCTTTCTCTCAGATTTGGAAAGAAAAAAGAAGAGAAGAGCAAGACGGAGACAAAAATGAATGCGCAGAAGCAGATGTCAGAAATTCTGAGTGAGGAAGAGTTGGAGAGGATGAAGGAAGAGAGAGAAAGGTGGGATTGATGTCATCACACCATCACACCACAGTGAATCACTATCAAAACCTAGTGAGCTGCCAGGCTTTCTACTGCCTGCATAGGCAGCATCCTAACTGAGATGGAACCTCATAAGTGACTGATTTCAAACACCATACTGTACATTTGCAGCAACATGTGTATATAGTACACATGTATTAGGTAAAATAATGCTTTTTTTAAATTAGATTTAATTCCTATTTTATTGATTCTTTGAATTAATAATATTAATGCATTGTCACATTGCATTATGGGATTGCTGCCGACCTCTTGGAACAGCCTTTGTGTTTTGATCATGACTATAATGACTTAAATTGCTGCCTGTGTAGGCGTCTGTAAGTATGGAGATTTTTCTAATGCAGTTTTGTAGGGAGTCAGACCTAGATCCTTTGAGCCAGCACAATGCAACAGTGGCAAGAAATGCCCTCTAGGAGTAAAAGAAATTTGGGAGCTCAGGGCTCAAAAGAGGACAGCTACTCCCAAGTAACCATATCTACATCAATGAAAAATGTATCTGTGGAAAGGCGCATCACTTAAAATAAACTGCACAAGCGAGCATCATATTTGTGAACTGCAGTGTTCAAAAAGTAATAATTCACTCAATAGTTAGTTTTTTTACGGAGGAAAGTTTCCTGAACTTGGTAAGGGGCGTAACTTTCCGTAACACACTTGAGGTATTCGGCCAATCACAATGCACTAGATAGCTGGCCAATCAGAGTACACCGTACTTTTAAGAACTATGAGCTTTGAAAAAATCGACGCGTTTCAGAAAGGCGGGGCATAGAGGAGCAACAATAGTGTACAGTATGTGGAAAATTATGTTTTTTTTAACCTTAAACCGCGTGAACACATTGCATTACACCAAATAATGTTATTTTTAGCAGCATCATATGACCCCTTTAATGCATTATGCCTCATCAATCTGAGCTCATGCACTTTTAAGTGAACATTGCCAAAATTATCTGTAAACAAGGTTTTTTTTTATTGTTTTGTTTTTGTACACCCCACTCAAAAACTGAGGTGCATAAGCTCAGATCTGTGGGAACACCAAAATTAGATAAAATATTTTCAATGGTTAAATGCACTATTTGGATTAAAGCTGTTGCCGAAATACATAAATGTAAGTAAATTATGACCGCTGAACTGTATAATTGACAAGCAATTGATTTCCTACATTAGTTTCTATAGTCTCTTTTTTGCACATGATACCTTCAGCTGTAGAAAATTCAGACATTATCACAAAACAAACCCCTTGAGGATGATACAAGACTCTTATAATTAATCAGTGGTGAAGTTAGCATAGAGTTGAGAGATCTTTTAGCCTGTTGCTTTTGTCATCATTTGTGAGGGCACCAAGTCATTTCCAAACAGCATGAAATAGATTTCATAAGGAAACTCAAATGTAATCTGGGAAAAACTTTACCTGCCGTATGGAACAAAGATATAGCTCATTACTAACATGTATGACACACAGGATTTTAGATGATTAATTGTATTAAACACAGGATTAGATTTATTTTTGTTTTTGTCCATTTCCATCTCATTCACTCTCCAGGACTGACAGCTTTTTGTGGTCCATTACTGAGTTGACACACAGCACTAAGTTCCTCTTCCTCTCTCTATCTCTGTCTCTCGGCATTTCATGTATATTCCATCAGAAGACAGGAGAAAATATATATTTAGCTGAGATGCAGGGATGTTTTTGCAGTCATTATTTTGTGTGGTGTTTGCCGAGGCTTATTTGGACTTGGAAGCGTGTGAAGTGTGAGCTGGAGCCATGCTGTTCTCCTCCATATGCTCCAGAGTGGCATTTGTTCAGAGAGAGACTTTATTGACTGAGCCTGTTGTAGCTCCTGAGAGAGACAGAAAAGTAAAGTGGGAGAGAGAAGATCAGCTGGATGTGTCCGAAAGGTATTTCTTGACCTTTCCAGTTTATTGTAAATACTATTCAGCTTCAAGTTCTTGCAGTTGCGTTCTCATTGCTTGTGTTGTTTGCTCCCTTGAAATTTTGGATCATAAACTACCGGTCAAATGTTTGGAGTAATTACGAATTTATAATGTTGTTGAACGAAGTCTCTTTTGCTCACCAGGGCTTGCACTTAATTGATGACAAATACAGTAGAACAGTAATAATGTGAAATATTAATATTATCAATATATTAGAATCATTTCTGAAGGATCATGTGACACTGAAGACTTGAGTACTGCTGAAAATTCAGCTTTGCCATCACAGGAATAAATTACATTTTCAAATGTAATAAAATAGAAGTTGTTTTAAATTGTAATAACATTTGACAATATTGCTTTATACTGTGAGCATAAGAGACCCATTTCAAAAATATAAAAAAATCTTAAAGGGGTCATGTGATGCGATTTCAAGTTCTCCTTTCTCTTTGGAGTGTTACAAGCTGATTGTGCATAGATAAGATCCCTGAAGTTGCAAAGACTAAAGTCTCAAAACCAAAGAGATATTCTTTATCAAAGTTAAGACTCTGCCACGCCCCCCTAAAACGGCTCGTTCTAACATGCCCCCACATATCTACCTCACTATGTGGAAATATTTGCATAATGCCGCCCAAATGTTCACGCAAAGAAAGAAGGCGTGGTTTCAGTAACCGCAGTTAGTGTTGATGCAGCATGTCAGGGAGACGCTGTGTGTTTCTAGGCAAAAGCAAAAGCACTTTATTTGGCCTTCCGAAAGTAGATGCATTTAGGAATCTTTAAGATCACTTACAACAGAACAGCAATGCATTTTATGGACGACCGTTTCGTGAACCTAGGAGAGGATTTTAAGTATTTGCTATTGACTGTTCAAATGCGGAGTTTTGCGCATCGCGTGTGCGTGTCCGTGTGCGTGTGTGTGTGTGTGTGTGTGTGTGTGTGAGTGAGAGAGAGAGAGAGAGAGCGCGAGAGAGAGAGAGAGAGAGCGAGAGAGAGAGGGCCACCCTTGTCAAAGGAGGGGACTTTGTAGAAAACGAAGCGTTTGAGAGAGGCGGGGCATAGAGGACCTACAAAAATGTACAGTATTTGAAAAATAATGTGTTTTTTGAACATTAAAGCATGTCAACATATTCTGTTACACCAAATACACCAAATAATGGTCTTTAAAAAAGCATCATATGACCCATTTAAATATTCCATACTTTTGAACAGTAGTCTGTCCACCCCCACCCAGACTAAAAAAAGAGAGAGAGAGAAACAACCCAAATTACAATAATCATTAAAGCCAGGGTAAGTTAACATCAGCTTTTCGGTGTTACAGAATTGAGGCCAAGCACCAGGAATTGAGGGAACGCCAGGTTCGGGAACACTTCTCCCCACCTGACGTGGAGGATGATGGCCTGGACCCGAACTACGCCCGCATTAACAACTTCAGGGTGCGCGGATCACCTTCCCAGCCACGGTATGGTAACTGCAGCCCATCCCCACAGAGACCCCCACCCCCAGTGTCCCACAGCAGAGAGCCATCCACAGAAGACCCTTTGGACGGCCTGTACGCCAAAGTCAACAAACAGCGAAGCCTTCCGCCTCCTGCTGCAGGCAGGTAAATATGCATATATGCATAAATCCCTGCTAAAAACTTGCTTAAACCAGGCTATGATGTTCTGCTGGTTTCTCAGTCTGGCCAAAATCCTGCTAAAACCAGTCAACAAACCAGCTTGACTAGGCTTGGAGTTTTTTTTTTTTTTTTTACCAGTTTAGTATGGTTTATGATATACATATAAATATTTTTTTCAACTGGTATAGCCTTCAGGTCTATATATCTGCCACAGGTGAGCATTTGCAGCATAGTAATCATATTGTTGGTCAGGTAGAATTATAGCCAACCCCATGAGCCTATACCTGTGTTACTTTCTATGAGTAGATTTCCTTGGGGTTGAATTGATTTCTGAAGGATTAGAGTGTAAATTGTGCAGGGTTATTTTATGTTTTTCTCAGTCCTTATCTGTTTAACCTGTGTCTGATCGATGCATTGGCAGTTCTGATAAGTGTCATAGCGAGATCAGTTAGGGGTGGGCGGCATTGATGATACCTTATATCATGCCGTGAGTAATGAGTTATATTTGAAATGCAACAAAAACAAGGCTTTTGTAATAAATAACCACATTGTAATGTGGTTATTTTTGATAATCCAGGGAATGCAATACAGTTCTGTTCAAAAGTTTGGTGTCAGTAAGGTTTTATATATTTTATGTCATTCTTGAAACAGATTAATACTTCAGAAAGGATTAAATAAATTGATCAAAAAGTGACAGTAAAGACATTTATAATGTTATAAGAGATCTCCTTTTCAAATAAATGCTGTTTCCACAAAAATATTAAACAGCACAACTGTTTTTAACATTGATAATAATAAGAAATGTTTCTTAAGCAGCAAGTCAGCATATTAGAATGATTTCTGAAGGATCATGTGACACTGAAGTCTGGAGGAATGATGCTGAAAATTCAGCTTTGCCATCACAGGAATAAATGATATTTTAAAATATATTCAAATAGAAAGCAGTTCTTTAAAATTACAATCATATTTCACAGTATTACTGTTTTTACTGAATTTTTGGATCAAATAATTGCAGTCTTGGTGAGCATAAGAGTCAACCCAAAACTTTTGAAATGCAGTGTATTTAACAAATGAAATGCATTTCATCTAATTTATAACATGTAAATGAAATGTGTGGCATAAGTGCTTTTTAAAAACTTTTTAAGACACAAAGTGGTCAAACTAATCAGTTTAATTTGAGTGACTCATGTTTGACGCTGTTGTATAACACCTGATACACCTGCTATATTAATACAGTATGTTGCTTGGTAACCGTAAAGAAGCCAATAACGCCTAATAACACACTTTAATAATAAGTTCTTCCTCGCCTTGACTTGTAATTCTCATAACCTTAAGACACAGAGTCACAGCTGTAAACCCAGAGGAGCTGCTCTAGTATTGATTCTCTTATTTCTGCTGGACACATCAGCTTAGTCTCCAGCTCCAATTATTTTCTTTTGATTGAGCATCAGAAATATATCAATGTATATTTCATTGACCTCCACCTATGGTGAAGTAATGCATTAGCCTTGGAATTTAAATCAAGAACTCATGCGGAGACAATAGCAGACAGCGTACAACTGGCTGAGGGCTGAAATATGCTAATACGGGACAGTCTGTCGGCGGTCGTGGGCGGGGCCTGAGCAAAATTGAAACGGCTTGATAATTGAGACTGTTTAGGTTTTTTTGGGGATTAAAAAAAGGAGTGAATGGATTTTTATCATTGTAGTGTGGCTGTGTCCACACACTGCTAAGACATTTATTTGCAAACACCATGTAAAAGTGAATTTTGCCTTCAATGTCCCCTTTAAGAATCTCAAAATTGACCAGTGCATGAATAAAATAATGTTTTTGCCTGTAGTGTCTTGCCTTAAATTAATAGCTTAAATGACTTTTTATGTTTTGACTGACAAATACAAGTGAAATCTTCTCTCTTATACAAAAAGTAATGCAAAAGTAACTAGCATGTTCCTGTACATTATAGATACCTCAGTGTCTTGTTCCAATCATCTCTGTTGTAATTTCTGAGTGGATATTTGGGTCAAAAGGAGTTTCAGTCGGAACAGGAAAGTCTCAGCATGAGGGGTGAGTTACAATAGTTGGCTGAAAGAAACTAATTTATTTGTATGAAGGGAAAGATGTCTGCCACACGGAGACAAAGGTGTATCAGCTATAGCGCAGCTCATTAAGGATATATCTTTGTCATATGTATGACACTTTGTCTGACTCTGTGGCCAGGTGTTTCCTACAATCTCAGTTTTTGATTAATAATCTGGTTAATTTCCCCACCTTTAGTTTTTCACACTCTGCCGGGTGGTGTGGCTTTGTATACTGCTGCATATTCATTTCTGGCCTGCATAAGGGGAGTATTTTGAGTAAATTCATGCTGATGGGTAAATTGATGATGTGAATGAGAATGGCGTCAGTGACTGTGGTGTCAGCATGAGCATGCTCTCGTGTCATATGAAGAGTTTGTTAAACGGGAGAGTTGCTCTGTTGTATGATTTAAAAGCATCCACTGAGAGTCATTAAAGCGGCTCGGTTATTTAGACCGACAGACAGTTTAACACACACCCTGCTGCCCACTGCTGTCATAAAAAATGTCTCTCGATGTGTAGTGGCTTGTATGGTCAGTGAGGAAGTGCAACAGGATTCTCTGCATCTACATTTTTTTTTAAATTAGCATGTCCACTAATACAAGACACAGAACTTATCATGATAATTTTCACCCTCTTTCGACCCTTCTAGTTCACCTAGAACTGGAAATATAGTCACTGTTACTCACTCTCATCATGTAGTACTGTGCTATACGAATATTTACATACTGCGAATGAGAGTGATAAACAGTAGAAATAAAGTCAGCGTTTTGAATGATATGAGGGTGAGTATGATGGCTTTGTGTGTGTGTGTGTGTGTGTGTGTGTGTGAGAACTACGCCTGTGAGACTTGTATATGTGAATGACCTCAGCCATGATTAGCTAACATCTTTGCATGCAAAGAGACTTCACTGTGATATGTGATTTGATATGCAAATATGGAAAGTGTTAATGACCTGTTTTTGCAACTTTGTTTCCATACATGGCCTAGAGTAGACAGACTGTGGAGGGAGCTTTGCATTCAAGTATGTCTGAGTAGTACATCTTAAGTTGTATCACTTCTCTCAGTATTAAAGCACAAATTTCACCTATGAATTGATTTAGTCTGTCAGAAGGCAAGACCAGAGCACAGTACTACCTACTTGTAGCAAATCTGTTAGACACAATTACACTCGATGTAGACGTTTTGAAGCTGAGCTTTAAATCAGGAAAACTTTTAAAGCTACAGTCCTCTACTGGGTATTTTCTTGGTCCAAAATGAACACTCAATGAGTGCCAAAAGCAATTAAAACTTGCTTTGGTGAGTAAATAAAACTGAGCTACTCTCCAGTAGTGGTAACCTAATAAAGAACTGTGCAGTGTATGGTTTAAGGGTCAGTGACACAGAAGGGTGTGCATGATTTTTTTTTTAAAGGACAAAATCTTTACAAAATCTAGTTTAAACCACATCCACCAATCTTTTAGAAATGTTCTCTTTGTATTCATGTTGGTTTCATTTGGTTTTGAAAAGTTTATATTTTATGTGTGTGTGTGTGTGTGTGTGTGTGTGTGTGTGTGTGTGTGTGTGAGAACTACGCCTGTGAGACTTGTATATGTGAATGACCTCAGCCATGATTAGCTAACATCTTTGCATGCAAAGAGACTTCACTGTGATATGTGATTTGATATGCAAATATGGAAAGTGTTAATGACCTGTTTTTGCAACTTTGTTTCCATACATGGCCTAGAGTAGACAGACTGTGGAGGGAGCTTTGCATTCAAGTATGTCTGAGTAGTACATCTTAAGTTGTATCACTTCTCTCAGTATTAAAGCACAAATTTCACCTATGAATTGATTTAGTCTGTCAGAAGGCAAGACCAGAGCACAGTACTACCTACTTGTAGCAAATCTGTTAGACACAATTACACTCGATGTAGACGTTTTGAAGCTGAGCTTTAAATCAGGAAAACTTTTAAAGCTACAGTCCTCTACTGGGTATTTTCTTGGTCCAAAATGAACACTCAATGAGTGCCAAAAGCAATTAAAACTTGCTTTGGTGAGTAAATAAAACTGAGCTACTCTCCAGTAGTGGTAACCTAATAAAGAACTGTGCAGTGTATGGTTTAAGGGTCAGTGACACAGAAGAGTGTGCATGATTTTTTTTTTTAAAGGACAAAATCTTTACAAAATCTAGTTTAAACCACATCCACCAATCTTTTAGAAATGTTCTCTTTGTATTCATGTTGGTTTCATTTGGTTTTGAAAAGTTTATATTTTATAAATTGGCATAGACCAAATGACTTCGATTTTGTGGACACAAGCAGTTTTGTGATTTTTTTAAAATAAAAATTATAATAAAACATCAAAACAGTTTTTTCTTCATTATATCAGAGTAGTTGTCTCACTCTGACATGTTTGATTTTATGCTCTAAAACGGTCATAAATATCCAAATTAATCAAAATAAAAATTCATCTTTTAATTTGAAACAATACTTCACAATAATACTGTTTTTGAATAAATTAATACATAAATATTACTAATCAAATGATATAAAAGGTAGTCTGACTCATGCCGATGCAAGTGATTCGAACGGTTGAAATCTGAGATATAAAACTCTTATCATCCCAACGACCAATAGCAGAGACCTTCGTTTCCCCCTCTCCATTCCTCCTTTCATCTAAACGCTCTGGAGAGGTGGAGAGGCAGGCAGGTGAAAGATGTGGGGAATGTGGTGAGCGAAAAGAGTGAGGGGCTCTTGAGGTTCTCCTCACGAGAGAGAAGCGGGCGAGGAGCTATTTGGCATTGGTTGTGAGAAGAAGGGTCCGCAGTGAGCTGCTCCTTCAGCCCTGAAGAGAGGCCCACTGCACTCAGAGTGGAAAGTTACTATAACAACCAGACTCTCCAGAGCTCTGCTCCGCTCCAATTAAAA